AATTGAAAAAAATGTTAAAAAAATCAAAAAAAAAAATCTTAGTTCCTAAACAAAAAGGACTCCAGCTGATCAATTTCCGTGAAAAAATCTGACTGTTCGAGGGAAGTCAAAAGACTTCCGTCGATTTGAAGGTCGTCCACATCCAGGTTGGGAAGTTCCGAGGAGGTGCTGTCCATGGCCTGGAGCATATCGTGGTGGTGCGTGGAAGATGACGCGACGTGCGGCTCATCTAGCACGGCTGGAGGTTGTGGAGGTTGCACGGTCGTGGTGGAAATGGCAGTGGAAGGCGCTTGATCCTGTTGCACGGCGCCACGCAACACGATCGGCATGGACGGGGTGGCCAGGCAGCACGGGCACGACCGTCGCACCGCGCCGTTGAAGTTGGGCATAGGTAATGGTGAGGGGACAATTAGAATGTTCTGATTCGGAAGCGGGGCGAAATTGCATAGAGGGCACGTTGGAATCGCCGGGAACCGGAGCACTCTCTTGTTGTGCTCGATGAGGATAGTCTGAATTTGGCGAAAAATTTGGCCCAAACTCATCGTAACTGCGACGAGCGTTGTATCCGGCGGAACCACTCTCGACCCGTTGACGAAGCGACGCACCTCGCGCCGCAGCTCCTGCGCCAGGTGCAAGACGTTCGTGTAGTTGCTTGGGGAGGCGCCGGTCTCGTTGTTAGCGGCCATCTTCAAGAATAGACAGCTATTGGACTGTAGATATTGTCGCCGAAAAAGCCAATAAGGTCAGACCCAATGATGCCGTCGCAGAAGAGGAAGTCCTCGGCGTCAAAAACTAAGAAGGTATGCTGGCGGTACAGTCCGTAGTTATAGATTGAGGTTGTGATTGTCCCGACAGCAACACACGATAGTCCAGTGAGTGGACAGGTGAGAGACGGCGGCGGACAGAAGGTGCAGACAGGCTGATAGTGTGGCACCACCGTCGTCGTCAAGAAGGACACAGGCGTCGCGGGATCAACTATGAACTCGTAGTGAAACTCAATGGGTGCTGGTTCGGGTGCGGAGACGGGACTGAGAGGAGCCGGTCGGACAGGACACATCGTCGCGGTGGTGTCCGCCGAAGAACTGCTGGCCAGGACGCTGCGAGAAGGTCGTGAAGGGCAGAGGAGGAAAAGAGCAAGCAGGATGGAGAAAGAGGAGGTAACAAGTGTGGAAGAAGTTTACAGATAGTGCGGCTGTAATAAGCAAGAGAGATAACCGGGAGGGAAGAGAAAGATCAGTTTGCAACGGGAAGTGCCGAAGCGGAGCCCGGTCGAAGGAGCCACAGTGCGGGCGGAATGAGCTGAGTAAGCTGAAAATCTGGAAGTGATTTTGAGGGAAAATAATTAAAATGAAGGTCAAGAGAAAGGGGGAACAGGACCCAAACAGTTGAATAGTTTTGATGGAAAATGATACGTTTGGCAAGGAGAGGGGAAAAAAATAACTGTGAAGACTTCCCAAAATTTTTGTTAAAAATAAACAAATGATTGAGCGTGGGGAATAGGGAGACCTCAACTCAAGGCGCGAGATACACAAGAGTAGTTGTGACCCAGAGAGAGGGGGGGGGTGGGGGCGATATGGGTGTGTATGTGAAGCGAGAGAAGAATGCCATGAGTGCGAGAGAGAGAGAGCGATTCCATGGCGGCGACTCACTAGGCCTCATGAATGGGGAGAGAGGAGGTGGTGAGGGGGGGTGTGTTGTAAACAAATCGGGCTGGCGCCGGGGGACCCCCAAGTGATGGAGCGGGGAGAGGAGGGAGGGGGGGGCGAGGTGAGGGTGGTGTTCGTATGAGAAACTCACATGACAGAACGCGGGTCATTCAAATCGAGCAGTGGGGAGATTTGAAAGAGGTTTGACTGCACATCCGGGGGAAATAGGAAGAATATTAATGAAAATTATTTTAAGAACTATTGGCGCCTTGGGATTGAAGGAGACGGGAGAGGGCAGACAGGGGCACAATGATTTTGGTAAATAGTTTGTTGCAATGGATACATTTCGTGAAATTGGGGGTTAGGTGAAGGAGAGGAAGATGTTTGCAAGTCAGTTGGATACAGTGGAGCTGTAGCGGGGGATGGCGAATGATTGGTTATTTGGGGTAAAGGAGAGGGGAGGGGTACAGCGGGGGAAAGGGAGGGGACAGGTGATCGGTGGGGAACTACAGCTAGTAAATTGTCACCTTCGTTTGCCGAAGGTAACGCAAGGTGCGCGTTATTACCATTCGTCGCGGTTCCCATGAAAACATCTTTTTGCATTAATAAAAAGCCTGCTAATGTGTCCCATAGACCAGCACAAAGTATGCACGAAAACCCAAATTCCTGTTTCAAATGAAAACATCTTAGAAAAGTAGAGAAAATGTACTTTACCAGTTGAAAAATTAGCGCAAGTCCCAAAAGCACTGAAAAATGAACCAATTTTTGAAAACCAACCATAAATTGCATAAAACGTATTTTTGGCTATTTCTGCTAGATCATGTGGGGTTAAGAAATTGTAAACGGAAATGCGACCTCCAATTGTTTGATTGTTGTCTAGTAGTGATCCTGCAAGGTGGGTTACTAGCGCTGTGCGGGCGTTTTGATAATACAAGGCCTTTTCAAATTGTTGAACGTAATTTAAATCATAGAGGCCATGAGAGGAAATATGCCGGAATTTATTAAATTTCAAGGTTAGAGGTTCATTTGGCGTTAAAATTTTTGGTGGTTGTTCAACAATTTCGATAGCAGGTGTCATTTTAATCCACATGTCTTCCTTAAATTTGAAGTAAACTGGTGCCAAAACGGAGCAAGCTTGCAACTGACCAAACGCTTGCAGGACACGCGTGACTGCACTTAGATATTTTGTGACATTATTGTGGATAACTGGGAGGGACGAATAACACTGTTGAGCGCTTCTATCTATTTCTACACTAACTCTTTCGCAGGTATAAACCAAAACAGTCTCCCCTAGCGCCAGAGCAAATCGGCCTGAAGGTTTATCAAAAAGCAAATTTCCTGCACTTTCTGGGAATGCTAGAAGTAAACTTAATTTAGTTCTTATTATTTGTTGTTCTAGAAGACAGCGTTTGTAGATTGAATCAGCCAAAAGTGCATTATAATTGTTTGTTTGAGAAATTTCCAAAAACATTAATTTTGAAAGGTAAAATGAAGTCATTTCTGGTGTCAACCGTGACGAATTGGCTTCGTGATAATAGTGAATGTCGAAAAGCACTGTAATTGAGGGGAAATCGGTTCTTTGATAAACTAGTCCACCACAATCTTTAAATTTGTCACCTAATTTGAAAGCAAACAATTTGTGATCTATTTGTGCCATTAAATATTCGTCTTGTGTCCCATTGCCATTGTTGAGAGTTAAGTGTGTGACTGAACCATCATGCAAAACGTGAAATCCTGTGCGGTCACATGTTGTTGGCGGTGGTGTTGCGGTCCAAAATGAATAACCCTGTTCCACATCTTGGCATTCTGATTGGGAAAATTCGCAAACTAAATTGGAACGCAACAAAATTTGATTTTTCAAGACGTCAAATTTAGCTTTATACTTTTGCAATTTTACGCGCATTTTTACAGCTACGTTTACGTAAGGGTATATTTCTTTTGTGATAACATCCTGAAAAGGATTAGCTCCATTTTGGCAATTACCTTTGTTGTCCCGAGTGCCTATATAACTTTGTCTATGTGTGTGACTCCGTTTTGCTTGACTTCAAACGTGAACCCGTAAAATACATATTCATTAGTTACGTGGATTCTATTACATTGTTCGCGCGTTAATGTGATAACCCGATTGTAAGAACGAATCAAACTAGTATGGTCATTAAATGTGCACTGCGTTATTGTAAATGTTACAAAAATGTCACAAGAAAAGACCTCTGTTTCGTCCCATTGTTTAGTTTGTAAGATTTGAGCTGTTCGATTGGTTTCTGTGTATAAAGATGTAGGACGGACACACTGACCTACATCGACAAGCGAGTACCGTTCACTGGAAATAGGCCGAGTGCAGTCCCAGGCATAAAGTTGATTGTCTTCGCCATATTCTACAAATTCAGCATCAGCAAAACCGACAAGGCAAAAAAAGACGAACCAAGGCGGAAACGCCGCCATCTTGGATTGGAACACTGTAACAAAGAAAAAAAAAATTGTGCCTATGTGGCATATGGTTAAAATCAACTATCTCAACAGTTAAATAATGATTAAAAGTACTTATAAAATATGGATACAACGTAACAAAAATGTGAACTAAAATCTAGGAAGGGTTACAAAGTAGAAAAGGAGGGGGGGGGGTGTACTACCAATGATACATGACTATTTCAACATCAACTTGACCAAAAATAATTTCCAGATAATGAAGCAATTTATCAATTGAAAACTTATCAAGGCCACAGCTATATTCAGGGAAAGCAAGATGGGTAATTTTATACAGTACAACATATTCTTTTAGTGCAACTAGGCTATCAAAGACCATTTTGTCTGTTGGTTTATGTCTAGCAAACTGTTTTGTTACAACATTGAGAATAAGACGTCCATTGCGACAAATAGGCACAACTGAAGGGATTGGTCTATATTTTGCACGGATTTCGTCCCGCATACGAAAGATATCTTCGAGATACTTCGCAAGACCTCGTGAAGTCTGAGCACATTGCGAAATTGCCTGACATATGGCATGTGTTGGTGGAGAAGAAACAATGTCTCCGTAGCAATGGAACAGACGCATCTGAAAGGAAATAAAATTATCGTAAAAGGTGCGTGCAAATCAAAATGAATCGTTTTACTTGATAAAGAAAATGCGCAAAATAGAAATAAAACAAGATTGTTTGCATGTTAAATCTGTATTATAAAACGTACGCTTCACCCATCTCTGTGGGAGCAAATATACAACCACGCTTCAACCATCTCTGTGGGAGCAAAAGTAAAATCAAACTCACTACGACAAAATTGTCATTCATATAGGACTCAAATATTAAAATCAATCAAATGCATAAATCGTAAATCGTAAAACACATCTATTTTTAAAAAAAAATTGATTAAATGTTTTAGTATCCCGGGCCCAGGATAAAATATTAAACGCAACTATGTGTTCGGATTACTTGCTGGCCAGCAGCTCACTACTAACATGTTGTAAAAAATGTGTACAAAACGCAAACAATATGCTTTGTATCAGAACACGAAGGTGTTCTGATGATTTACAAAATGCCGTATGCATGGTAAATCACAAAACAAATCAAAATAAGCAAAACTGCAAATAGCAACAAAATACAAAGGAAGTAACATGCAAATAGAAAGAAAATGATTACAGAACACGCCAGTGTTCTGATGATTTACAACAATTTCTAAGCGCAGTAAACGAACGCGAAAGTAACATTTTTGATGAAATACCTCAAATTCAAGCACATAGATTGTCAGAATGATATGTTGCACGCACATCAAGGAAAATGTTCGCAATATTTGTGTTCAGAACACGCCAGTGTTCTGATGATTTACAAATATTCCCAAGTTGCAATATAAGCAGAAAAAGACAGTTGAGAATCAAGACAATAATAGTTAAATGACCAAAACATTAAATGTCAAATAATCAAACGGGGGTTTCCTGTACGCTTATCTAGAGGGGGGGGGGGGGGTCAATGTTCGAAACAAAGCATGTTACATATCTCAAAGAAGTACAATTACGATGGAGGGAGAAGGGGGGAAGGCAACGAAGGGGTAACAGAGTGCATGCAAGGGTTTGAAGCCTGTGAAACAGCAAGTGAAATAGGGGCATGATCACTGCCTTTTACTTCAGTTAAAATTTCACAAGCTTGCAAAAATGGTATTAAATTCTTAGTAACGAAAAATATGTCCAAACGCCATCCCTTATTCTGTTCCCGTAGGTACCACGGGTGAAAACTCCAAAACGAATAAGCAACATCGTTAGGATGCAAATATCGAAATGCATCGATAAAACCGAAGTCCAAAATTGAATTAAAGAAATCACGTTCAATTTCTGTTTGTCCAGCTGCGAACCGCAATGATTCTTGTGGATCTACATCGAGAGCTGTGTGTGCAATATTTATGTCTCCACCTAAAATAATAGGTAAATTGTGTTCCAAAAGTGTACTCAAAAATGCCAAAAATTGTCCCAACCACTTGGTTTTCTTGTCGAGTTTTTCCAGATGTGTTCCAGCAAATGGGGCATAGAAACAGACGGTTATAAAATTCTCATAAATTAGCGTAATTGATCGAGCTTCTTTGTCTGCATCCGAATAAAAACCTGTGATAACACGAACCGGCGCAGGCCGCGTGATGATGGAAATTCCAGCATAGCGAGCGACAACGTGCTTCCGCAATCAAGCAAACCATTCGTTGGAACATTATTAATTGTAATTGGTAAATACCAATAACTACGAGGCGGAATAGGTATCTGAAGAGCGGAGACCGTTCCTAAATCATTGGGTGTAAGCTGAGAAAAGGGAAGAGGATGAAAATTGTTTCCTAATTTTATTTGAGGTTCATTAGATTCGGTACGATCTCGTATGCCAAACGCTAACGGTATTTTAATCGAAGGCAACACCAAACTAGGTTTCGATTGGAAAGTGATTTTGTCATAATTATCTGAAGTTTCAGAATAAGATTGTAAGTCATTTTTAAATGATGAAGTGTCAATTTCGCGTGTGGGGGTGGGTGACCAGGTAGAGGGAGGGGTGGGGGGCGAGGAAGTAGGGGATGAGCAATAAGTGCGAGTGGGGAGAGCAGATGAAGAATGGAGTGTGGGAACAGAAAGATTATTAAAATCAAACGATTGATTCTTGTTGGTTTGATAATTGTCACTCGGCGACAAAGTACAATCAGAGTCAACAGAAATTGATTTATGAAGAAAATTTTTAGCTGAAGAGTGGACAAGGGGGGCTGGGGACGAAGTGTAATTAGAGCGAAGGGCTTTGCTTCGCCTGATTGACCATGCATCGGGCGATGGCGGAGGAGAAAGGAGGGGTGGGGGCGGGGGAGACGGGAGGCGCGATTTTGAAGTAATATTTAGCTTACGAGTTACACCACTAGATTGCAACACATCTTTTGGTGTGTTATCAAAACGAACGGAACGAATTGCTTGACTGTAAGTTCTTTTCAGCTGTTGTCTCAAAGGAAAGAAAGGCTCAAAGTGTCCCTTATCAATTACTCCCGTGAATTTCAAGTACAAAGTTTCTGTGGGATTATCCGCTGAGTATGATGAAATATTGTCACGTTGATGAAGTATTATTTTAATGTGCAAAAGTAAAGCAATTGCATACAGTTCGCAATTCGTAGCAAAAACGGCAGGTTTTGAAATGTGATTAAAATAATCATGTTTGTCAACCTGAAAATTTTCACCAATAAAAGCAAAATGTTTAAATTTAGACCAATTGTTTAAAATATAATTTGCAGTGAAATTTCGAAGGCCTTTCGCACAAGTAATGTCGCTCCACAAACCCACACTTACACTGGAAAATAAACAATTGCCATCTAAAGGCATGGGGATAGTTTGAATCTCATCGAAATCAAGTTGAAAAGAATCTGGCTCACAGAATGTCACGACGCAAACATGCCCGTCAATTGGAGATGTCTGCGTCGTTACTCGTTTTTTGGATTGTTTATGGAGCGACGAACAGGGCAGGAAGAGAGATCATGATTTCCAGAACAAAAATCACATACATCAGATTCGTTGGCTCGACGAGAAAATTCAGGAACTGAATAATTTTCTGGAGTTTGGCGATTTCTATAACTAGGGTTAGTAAGGGAGCTCCTACGAGGTTGTTGGTTATTGTTGCTATTATTGTTATTAGAAGACTGGTTGTAAAAACGAGCATCTTGTGAGCGTTGTTCATTGTTGTAATTGTTGCTATAATTGCGTTGGTTGTATTGACCTTGGCGATTGTTGTTATAACGATTCATGTTGTTTTGATAACCATTATCATAACGGCGATAGCGATTATTGTCAAAATTGCGATTATAATTGTTAGAATTATTGTCAAAATTTCTGTTGTAATTGTTTTGTTTGTTGTAATTTTGATTGTTGTAATTGTTATTGTAATTGTTTCGACGTGAGTCAGAGTTCCTGTTGCCATCATAACGACCCTGGTTGGAACGAGAGGGCTGATAAGCAGGGCGGCCATTGCGGTCGTCACCGCGAGCCAAATTTTTACGATCGGAGCTACCGTCACGGGAACGGGGTTCACGGGATTCAGAGCCGCCATTGCAAGAAACAGCATGGACGCCAGCAGGTTGCACCATGGTTGCAAGTTTGGAAATTATATTATCCAAAGCAGCAACGGAAGCCTCCTCTTTTGAAGGCGGTTTGGGCTTAGGAGGGTCAACCAAGGCACTTAATTTAGAAACGAGAGTATCAATAATAGCCGCGCTTGCATTGGGTAAAGGTTCCGTTTTAACGACAGGCGCGGAGGTTCCAGAGATTGAAGGGAGAGCATTTGGTTCAGATTTTATTATTGGCTGAGTTAAATCGGCTGGCGTTGGCACTGACAACTGACCAGGCAGAACGTTAGAAAGATGCGGCGAGGAAAAATTTTCAAAAGCTTTCAATGAATGAGCCCGTACACTAGCTTTATGTGCTTTGTAAAGAGTCTGAACTTTGGTTATGAAATCATTGACAGCGTTAACACCAACAAAATCATCTGGATTTATGGAAGTGACAAGGTGCAATGGGAGCCCCTTATGAATGTGGTTTATTTTCTCTTTGTCATCGAGTATTTTTGCTTTGCGGCACAATGTAAGGACACTCTGAGAATATTGTTGGAATGTTTCTGAATCTTTCTTGACCCTAGATCGAAGCAAATCCCTATAATAATCCTGATCTGCGTTTAGGGCGAAACCATTGCGCAACTGTGTCTTTAAATGGTCCAGTACTTCGGCAGGGCGTACTAGGACGTTTCGTCCAATATTTTATGTCCAATGAGAGTTTGTCCTACACACTACGTCCAGTATGACCTGCGTCCAAAACTCATATGT